GTATAATGTTTTAATTTTGTTGCTAAATTATTATTAAAAACTAATTACATTATAATTATAGTAAATTTTAATATTTTTTTAATACTATATTACTAATAATACTATTTTGATATTAAAAAAGCATATAAAATTAATGAATTCAATGCTTTCTACATTAAATATATATTAGATTATACTTCCTGATGGTTAAGTGACTTAACGATCTGCTCACGATTTATGTATCAATCGTTAAGTCACTTAATGATCTATTCACGATTCCTGTATCAATTGTTAATCACTTAACGATCTATTCACGATTCCTGTATCAATCATTAAGTCACATAATGATCCGTTCATGTATTAATTGTTAAGTTACTTAACGATTGATACAGGAATCATGAATAGATCGTTAAGTGACTTAACGATTGATACAGGAATCGTGAATAGATCGTTAAGTGATTTAACAATTGATACAGGAATCGTGAATAGATCGTTAAGTGACTTAACGATTGATACAGGAATCGTGAATAAATCGTTAAGTCACTTAACGATTGATACATAAATCGTGGGAGATCGTTAAGTGACTTAACGATTTATTCACGATTCCTGTATCAATCGTTAAGTCACTTAACGATCTATTCACGATTCCTGTATCAATTGTTAAGTCACTTAACGATTAATACATGAACAGATCGTTAAGTAATTTAACGATTAATACATGAGCGGATCGTTAAGTGACATAAAGATTGATACAGGAATCATAAATAAACCGTTAAGTTACTTAACGATTGATACAGGAATCGTGAATAGATCGTTAAGTGACTTAATAATCTATTCACAATTCCTGTATCAATCGTTAAGTCACTTAACGATCTGCCACAATTTATATATTATTCGTTAAGTGACTTAACGATCTATTCACGATTCCTGTATCAATCATTAAGTCACTTAACGATCTATTCACGATTCCTGTATCAACCCTATAAGAAAAATGGTCCGGGAAAACAGTGTATAGGCACGTGTAAAATGTCACGGGCTAATGGGGCCGGTATTACACGTGCATGGTCCGAGTTGGGACGGAACTGTGGAACGTATTAATCTGTGTTCCCGTGTCAATTTAAACGTGAATAGACGTAATTTTTGCAGCAGTTTACTAAG